GCCTAGTGGGGGTACTCGGTACTGGGTTCTGGGAAGGAATAGGAATCGGATTCGGAGTTGGAGTCGGCGTAGATACGTGAGGCTGGGATGGGAGCGAGGCAAAAAGTTTGGCGCATACCAAAAGTCCTTGAGCCATTGAACGATCGATCGAATCGGCTGATATTGGGGGAGCAGAGTCGCAGGCATCTCAGCCAAAGATGGTCATCTGGCCGGGCTGCCTGGCTCATGCCGCATGCCGTCTCTCCCCCAGCATCGATTCACATTTTTGCTACGCCGCATTTTTAGCCAATTTAAAGTCTAATTTAAGCAGGCCCATTCGCGACGCACGTAGCCAGGTGAATCCGACGGGGCTCCGCAAAGGATTGATCTGGTCTGGCTAATTTTGAGCACGTACGCATATAAATTTCATCAAAATTCCAGCGTTTAAAATCCAGCGAATGGTGAATCGCGAATCGGGAAATGCGCATCTTGCCGCATCCAAAAAGGACATGCCAGCCAGCCAGTCGAGTAACAAAAATAAAATTTATATTAAATTATGGTAAAGGGGAGGGAATTTTTGCATTTTTTGTTTGACTTTTTGGGGGAAAAAGGAATCCGGCCTTTATTGTCTGTGTCTGGCTGGCCTTTTTGTCACTGAACGCATAATAAACATGTTTATTAACATTTTCGGATGGTGCTGCCGGCAAACAATAAATTAAGAGCGGAGGGCAGGAGACAGCTTGTGCAACATGTTGCATGCAACATTCATCAGCGCCATGGGGCGAGATATTCTGCCGAAAGCAGATTGGAGAAAAATGAAATAATTACTTTTTGGGCTCAGAATTCCTGCGGAGGACCAAAGCCAAAAAGGACAAAGGCATTCCTTTGCAGTTGCAACTTTAATATCCGAATAGATGTGTGTCTTGAATGTATTTACCAAAAAAATTACGGAAATATGCAGATTTTAAAGGCCTCCTTTAATGCAGCGCTGAATGATTGAAGCTTGGAGGCATTCCGGACTCCGGACTTGATTTAAAAGCCACTCGATGCGACTCGCCGTTCATTAAATGCACTTTATTGGGCGCGGAGCGGGGCGATCGTCGCTTTTGCATTAATTTCACATGCAATTTACGCTGATTTATTTGATCTGCAAGGGACAGGCGGTGTCCCCTGGACTTCTGGTCTTCTGTCCCGACTGCCGGCCTGGCTGTCTGTCTCTCTGTCTGTTTGTCACTCAGATAGCGGCGTCGGGGATCTTGAACCCTCTTCCTAAATTGGCTCCAACCACAAAAGACTGCTGCCTGCCTGGCTGCCTTGCTGGCTGCCTGCCTGTTGATTTGATCGATTTGTGTTGATTGCCTGTCAGTATCGGGATACAATGGCTCCTGCTAGAGGGGCAGAACGGTCTGGGGGCAGCTCTTGTTAGGTGTCAGTCGGGGCAGTCAAGTGTTAAATATATATATGGGCGAATCGGAGTTTATGTTAACTAAAAGTGCATAAAATCTGCAAAAGGAGAAGGCCACGCCACGCCATGCCATGCCGGCCACGAGATTCAAAGTCCGACAGTCGTGTCAGTCAGCCAGTCAGTCACTCATTCAATTCACTTGGCTTTTTATGCTGAAATGGATTTTCTTTTCTTGGCAGCAGTCCCCGGGTAATGTGAGATTTCTCTGCGGATTGTGTGGGTCTTGTAAAGTGATACTGGGCTTGGCCCCAAGCCAGGCTTGCGAGCTCGCTTTGATTCGGTTTATGCAAAAATCGAGCTGGGCAAATCACATTAATGGAGTAGGGGCTTTATCCCCCCATTTCGGAGATTGCTTCGGTCACCGATCCATGTCTTGTATATATATTTTATGCAATTTCCCCCTGCATAGTGGCCTTTGTTGCTGTGATATTTGAGAGCTCTGACCATTTTGGCTGCATCTTATCATTCTAACGTAATCTTAATCACTTTGCCCAATGCTCATTCATCCAGATCATCAATTTTCCCCCGTCTGTCTGTGGCCAAAAGACTTCCACCATGGATGAATTGGCTTCAAGACGTCTTCAGCCGAGTTCGCTCTTCTTAAGAGTCTCTGGTCTGGCTAGGTCGGGTCTGGTCTGGTCTGGTCTGGTTAGAGCACTTTTCCTGCTTTTCCTCAGCTCATTTCTTTTGTGTGGTGCTTTGTGTTTCTACATTTGCTTTTTATGCCGCTTCAATGGAGCTTTTGCCGCCTTTATCAGATTTTCAAGTTGAAAGATTTGCTGTTGCCCAGAAATCACTCCCCCAAACTCCCCAGTCAGACCACTTTCCTCGCGCGTGCTTCCCGGGCTTCCTTCGGGTTCCCGGGTTCTCAATGCATCAGTCAACTGACAACGCCCAGGAGTTCACCTCTTCACCTCCGATTCGACGAGTCGCTCGGTCCAATACCAAAAAACAGCATTTGCTACTTAATAGTTGCTGTTGTTGCTGTTATCGCTTCGCAATCTGCCAGTTCGACCCCTTATGGGCCAAGTTAGTTAGTCGGGAGTGTGGCGGGAGGTCGGAGGCGGGAAATTCCCCTCTGTTGGCCATATTAAAAATGTATATAAAACTCTTAAACAAACCTTGCCTCGACCGAATCTAGCTGAGATGGTCAATGGTCAGTGGCCACTGACCTCACACCCTTCTGCACAGAGAGAAATGGCTTTCCAATACTAGATATAATGCCTGGAAATGCTATAGATAGTATACTTAAGAATAAAATCTAAAGAGATGACATAGCATGAGTACCGGGTATTAGATACTCATCAAGCTCTGAGTCTCTAAACTCCGAATTTCTTTTCAGTGCCAGACTGAAGCTCCTGCTGATCCGCCTCCTACTTCTGTTGCTGCTGCTCCCTGTTGGTTCTTTATAGATTTCAATAATAGATTTTCGAGTCGGTTTCCTTCGGCTGCGTTGCCTTTGCCGTTGCTGTCTGTCTGCCATCCAACCAACCAGCCAGCCAGCCTGCCTGCCTCTGCTATTGCTGCAATTTTCGTTCATTCGGCGTGCAAAATTGTTTTCGGACTTATTTTTTTGCCATTGGCCATGAACCCGCTGACGGCTCCTGGCTCTTCCAGCTCCGCTGGCTCTTTGCTCCCGGACTCCTTCTAATGTGTTTCTTTTGTATCGTTTTTGGTTTTTCTGCTTTCGGTCGCAATGCAGCTGTGCGTTGAACCTTTTGCCAATTGCAATTGTTTCAGTTGCAAGTTGCTGTTGCTGGTCTTGCTGCTATGTTGCCGCCGCAATTCGTAGTTTGCTTGTTGTCCACTTAAAGTGCCACATTTGGTATAGCGAAAATTGCAGAATGCAATGCATGAGGTCAAGCCGAGTGAACGGAGACCCCTTTCCGGAAATTGGCAACAGCGAGAGGGTCTGGAGAAAGGAACCCTCATTTGTGCGAAAGCGATGAGGTGGTTTTGGCTTTAATAGTTATTTAGGGGAACTTATATAGCCATCGACTGGCAATCGATAAGCGATGAGGGAGATCCGGTTGCATTACTCTGGCAATCAGATCAGATTGTTATGAAAATGAATTCCTCAACCAGGGTCTTCTTAAGAGATTGCTTTAATGCTCTTTAAACAAAAATTAATTGCTTGGAAAATTGCTAATAAGCTGCCAGCAAGAGGGGAGATTCTAGGAGACTTGCCAGAGATTAAGATAGTAGCTCCAAGGATGTGTGGGATGTGACTTGGGTGCCAGAGATGCGAGGGCTCCTTGTGCGTTTCCTCAAAGTTTTCCACGCAACTCCCGGGCACAAGTGCAGGGAAAACACAACCGAGGAGGAGCACAAAGGTAAGGCCTTGTAATCGAAGAAGGCGAAGAAACAGGGGAGTCCTTGTCCTGAGGTTACGTTTAGTAAGTGTGAATTTGGTGTCATCAGTGGATTCTGGCGGGGCAGCCGCAGCGAGGGTCAAAGACAAAAGTCAGCGGAAATGTGCGAGCTTGGCCCGGGGCGCAACTAAAATTGGCAATGAAAATAAGCGTAGATTACGAGTGCCGTAGCTGGGAGTAGAGTTCCTGGCCATCAAGCGAAACCCATCAACGTGTAATGAGAAAAAGTTAACTCGCTTCCAGGCATCTTGTTGTTTGCCGGCGTGTGTCTCTGATTATATCACAGCCACGGCACCCCGAAACCTTCGCCTGGACCTCTGGTGTCATTATCTGTAGCCCCCAGACCGAAACTCCGAAACCGAAGATGCCAATGGACACATGCTGGTCACTCCGCCGGCTAAATGCTTCCATTTAAGTTGTAAAATTTAAAGGCAACTCATAAACACAGCTGGAAAGTGAGAAGTGTTAGATGCCGGATAGAGTCATTTCTGGAATGGCTTCAATGGGCCTCCTAAGGGCAGAAATAGAGAACTTCGACTTTGTGTTTCAAAAAGTGTTTAAGAAGTGTCGTTGGGAAACTTTTGGGAAGCGAGTGTATCGCTTTAATGCTCTTTAATTCACTTTCCATTACCTGAGACCCAGACCTGAGACCTTAGCCCCGAAAACCTTATGCAACATAAGGGTACCATTAACCCAGAGAGGAATAAATCAATTAGGCACAGTTTCCAGCTTACATCATTAATTCACTTTTATTTCTGCCCCATACCACAAAACATATACAGGCACAAATTATGTCAAAAATCGGTCTTTGAAGCAGACAACATTAGTGGATAATTAACACGCCCTTTTTTTAAGGGGGGAGTGTCGGCCGGACCCCAAACTTTTGGCCAACTTTGTGATGCAAATGAGATTGTAGCATGCGGCGCGCTACAATTTATAGTTCGAGTATGTGTCCAAATAATTCACAGCTGGAGGTCCGCCCCCGCAAACAGTATATGTGTCATGTATATCTATTGGATTTTGTTAAAAATTTCATGCTGCGCTTGATTTCCGACCCGACAGATGCGTTTCACGTCAGAAACTCCAAAATTCCATCAGCTAATGGCATGCAAATTATTAAAATTAGCTTTAGTTTTACCCACTCTGCGCATAACTCATCTTCTTTTTATCTCCTCTCGTTGCAGGTAAACTACTACGAACCACTATTTTTCCCACAAATCGGAGTTACGAATCCCCAAAGTGAGTTTTGAATGGGTTTTAATGCGATTTGCATAAATTATGTGGCGGGGAACTCAGCTCGGGGTGTTGTGACACTCCGTGATGTGAGTAATCCAATTCAGTTTCGATTTTGATTTTGTCATGAATCAACTAGGTGGGGCATCCGAAAAACTACAGAACTGATAAATTTAGTTACTCTTTTTTGATAAAAGTAAGCATCGGAATGTCTATCCTGGAGCTGACAGTTGGAGAGAATCCATTTAACCGCGATTATTTATCCAAAGTCGGGGAAACCCACACGGGGAAAATATCTTCACACGCCTCGAATCAAATGTCTGGCTTCGTCGGAAGATCTCCGGCAGGAACTCCTTTCCGAGCTGTCTTAATGATGCCCAGATTAATGTTTGTGCACCACAACTGGGAGAAAACCCAGCCGCCTCGGGGCGAGACAGTTTCCACCGCAAAACCAACTCGGCGGAAAACTGGAAACCCAATCAGCCACATGAGCAACGCCTTTTGTGCCAAAAACCGAAACTTTAACTATTTATTACCAAATCACTTGGGGCTGACTAACTGACTGGTTGACTCGTTGCTTGGATATTCAAATGCATTAGCTTCGAATGTCAGATATGACAGCTGCTGCTTTTTGGCTGTCCGACTGTGTCTGTATCTTTGTATCTCTGAAGTGCTTGGAGCATGGAGCTGGAGCATCTCCAGCCTTCATCAGCGTCAAAATATTTATAACTAGTTTGGTGCACTTTGGAGACAGTTGGAGAAATGGGGTAATCTTTGGATTGGAAAGTTAATATTATAGATAGAAAATAACTGGGAGTACCTATAATTTATTCATGTATTTCTCCGAGTGCCAAACGATTTCGTTTTCAGCTGCCCTTACCGCCTTTTTGGCCAACTGGCTGAGAGCCGTTGTAGCCAAATTAGCGCCTCCGGCCCTTTTGACATTGAAAAGGGTCTAATGGGTCGCGTCTCGTTGTCTGAGACTGTAGCCTCCCAGCCGTTAATGATCCAGAGCAGCATTTGGCTAATCGATTTATGATGTCGGCGGGAAAACGAAATCTGGGATCTGAGGAGATAAGGTGGCAACAGTAGCCCCCGACAAAGACACAGAAAGCAACTTTAAAATGCCACCCAAGATGGGGAAACATGCGGCTGGGCTGGGGGAAGGGGGAAAACAAACTTTAAAAACTATTTCCTCTCGGGAATCAGGACTCTGTCTGCCCTGGAAAGGATACTGGAGAAAGTAGCGTGAAATAACAATAAGCAAGAAATAATCATGTTGCGCCAAAGAGGAAGCTCAAGTCCTCTCCACGCCCTGTACTCCCGCAAGAAGCCAATCATGTGTAAAATGTCTGGAAGATGCTTCTTGGCCCAACTATTTTTGGCCCAAAGGAGTTGCATGAACTTGTCGTTGTCAAAGCCTTCAAAATGTCAGCGAAAGTGGCAGCATTCTCTCGGAAAATCGAAAGGAGTAGCTGTTGAAGTTTTCCAACTAATTGTTGTCAGTAGTTTTCTTCAAGAAACCCTTTAAAATTTTTCCTATTTCCTCCTCAGAAAGAACTGCTTTCTTTCATTAGCTTGGGGCTCTACATTCTTTGAGAATTCATGCCCTCCTAGAAGAATTCAGAGCAACATCAAAGCTAAGTAAGTAAGGCAGTTGTCGCATTAGCTGTGATTATTATCCACTCACCTTGGTATGGAGACATAGTGCCACACCCCCGACTTTCTCAGTCTCCTCCGCCAGAGACTCGGGCGTGTAGGTGTTGATTTGTGTTGTCTGCAGACTGCATTGAGGCGAGAATTCTCCGAGAGACTCTACAGGGGCAATTGAATGTTGAGCAACTTGCCATATGAGTGCGGCAGTGGATTAAGCTCTTGGGCAGCTGGCATTGAACTGTAATCAGTGTAAGCTGTCAGCCATTGGTGTATGCGGACCAGAAATGTATATTCATTCATTAAATTTAATGCCCCGTTGGGGGAGGGGAGATCAAACAAAGTCCAGGCACAAAGCTATCTCCGGGGATCAGGATTATAAACCATCGATTGGCCCTGCTCAGGCCCACATACAAGTCCGAAAAAAAACTAGGATATGAAGACCAAGTGGCGACGACTAAAGTTGTTGCAATTGAATTTGCATAAATTGTGGCCAGAGTTGAGTTCCTTCTGGTTTACTGGCTTGCTCTGCGGTTATGCAAATTCGACCTACACTCCCTCCCGAAGCCCCCTGAAGCCCCCTGTACAGTGTGTGTGTGTGCATTTGAAAATGCATAAGATTTATCCAAAGATTGCTGTCCATTAATTCAACTTGGATTTACTTTTAGCATATTTTACTACATGCACCAGAGAGACTTTTTGCATTCACAGTTCGATTCGTTTTGGGCTTTGGACTCGAATACGCAAATTCTTTTTTTTATTGCCTCAGAGCCCCCCTTGCCCGGCTCTGTCCCCTCAACTACTGGCAATAAATTTGCATTTACCCACAAAATGTTTTGAACTACGGGCCGATTTACCTTCCCTCGACTTACTTCTGCGGCTGCATTTATTCAAATCGGCTCGGATACGAGTATCTGGCAGATATTGCCCGATCCGCCAGATCCAAGTTTATTCAGTCATATTGATTAGTTTTTGATTGCTGGCATTTAAGTCGAGAGATGACCTTTTGGAGCTGCCATTGCCCATTTGGCTTGCTAATTTCGGACTAAGCTCTGGCCAAAGATGGAACTGTCTCTTTGGGGACTAAAGTGCGGACATAGCACCGCAAAATGCTCCTGATCCTGATCCTAACCGTTTTTGAACGCCTCTGGCCAAAAACTATTTAGGACAAAGAGCTTTTCTTGTGGTTTTCCCCCAAAAGGCAGCCGCAAAAATTCTATTACATTTGTGTCAAGACACAAGGTATTTGTGCTCGTCAAAACTGGGCCAAGAAATGCACTGGAAATTTGGCCGAAAAACCGAAAGACAAACTAAAACTAAATGAAATTTGTTTTGGGGCAAGAATGCGGGGCATTCGGGCGAAGTGCAGGGGGAAACCGCAGAAACCTCTGATGGAAAAATTTGTGTGTTGGCAAAAAGCAAACCAAACACACATGCAAATTTAAATCCATTAACTGGTCAGAGTTTTATTCACAATTTATGAGAAGCATTGACAGCCGGCCGGAGGTGGGTCCTTGTTTTCAAATAAACTCGAACATTGAGGTAGTTTTAAGGATTTAATGGCAACCACAGCCATGCCGGGCCAGGTCCGAACTTTAGGCTTGTTTGGACAAACAGGACACACGGTTGGCAATAAACCCAGCGCCCAAAAACAACACACAGGCGGTCTAACTAACCAATAAACCCGGAATATCTACGGTTTGGGCAGCTCTATTCTCCGTCCTCTATTTTTTATTTTGGCCACAAACGCTTTAAATATTTGAATGGACAGTCCGAAAATAGTTTGGGCCAGCTCCAGTTGACATTATTGTCGTTGGTTTTTTTTCTGTTTTGGAGGCCAAAAAGCCCGGGAATAAAGTTGTCACTTTACACACGATTGGGCGATGAACACAGCCTGCCTCTGCCCCTCTTTCCTGTCCCATTTCAAGGAGTCGGATTCCTTAAATATTTCATGATGTGAACTGTGCCAGTCAAGTCATAGGATATTTCCACGTCGAACCTGAGGAATAGGGCATCTATATAGGCTTTATTTGAACTATTTTCTCGGCAAATTATGTACATTTGGAATAAGTTTAAATTGCCGGTTTCAAAGTAAAGGTGGAATGTTGAGAGGTTGAGAATTAATCGCCACAGGACAACAGCTGTGCCTTCAAATTAGAGTGTGTAGGTTAGCTAACTCAAACCAAAAATTAAAAAAGACCAGTTAGTAATTATCTAATAACAGGGATTTATTTTGGAAATAGATTTTCCTCCATTAGTCAACTCCCAGCCGTGCCCTTTTCGACTTAAACCAGCGACAAATCAAGCCAAATCGAAGCTATAAATTTCGATATTCTGAATGTCTCACCTTCCAAGTCGGTTGAAATTCAATAGCGGATAAATGCAGCTCACGATTCTCAACAAGTTCCAGGCCAAAGCCAAAGCCAGGGCTAAGTGCAAATTTGTCACTTTAGCCGGAAGACGGGCGGCGAGAAGAGTGATGAGTCTGTTAGTCAGCCGGATAGGTTTCCACTTTAATCAGAGATTCGAGTGCAGCTGAATAAACTTTTATAGTTCACCAAAAAATACATATATTTCACAAACATATTCCTGCAACTTTCAGAAGCTCAAATTACACATTCGGAATTTTGTTTGCCAACATACAATATTTTCTATTTCTATTTTAAGTGAACATGGCTTTCATGTTGGTATTTGTCAATTTGGGGAAATTGGCATTTTATATGGCACATTTGTGGCTTATACCTATACTGTGGCCTAGATGAAAGAAATAAAATAAATGCTGGCCATAAAAATTACTCAAAATCATATTATTTTCGTTTGATGGAAGTCGTTTTATTTGCTCTTTAATATTCATGGCACTCCGATCTGGCTCTTCCCCTACCCAGGATATTCGTGCTTTTTGCTGGTCTCGTATTTAATCAATTAAAAAATGGGTGTACGTGCGCATTTGTGGCTCCACCCTAGGATTGCCCCAAAAAAAGCAGGATGGGATACCAAATGCACATGTGCAGCTTTCACGAGGACCTCCCCTTCGAGTGGGGAATTTTAATTTGAAAATAATAAAAACCAGCCACTCTCGCCCGTTTTTTTGTCCGCTTTTTGTTCGTCCTGAAGCCTGACAATGACAGGAATCGAGTTCCTCCCAGCTTTTGTCTAATTGTCGCCACCACCCACACCACCCACCATGATAATGCAGTCCCCAAGGTCTCGGAGTGCATGGAAAAATGTTCGCATATGTTGCGTCTTTTTTTTAGGGTCTGGGTCTGGGTCTGGGTCTGGGGCTGGCCATTTGGGGAGCGGGAAGTGGAAAGCTATGGCTGGGGGTGGTGTACCCCCCCGGATGACCTGCCCTG